CCCCCCCCCCCCCCCCTTGCGCCGACGCACGACGTTGGTTTCTGTTTCTCCTGCCAGATCCCTCGGATCCTCAACCCCGTCGTTGAGGCAGTCCGATCGCTTGAAGGGATGGCTCATGACCCGGTCCTCGGCCACTACGTGGACGTAGGCTGGGGCGGCGTTCAAAACGCCAAGATGGCCATCCTGTCGGACTTTTTCAAGGTGAGTAAAATGGGCGTGTGTGCGGTATGAAACGTGGGCTTCCTCGTGAAGCATGAAGGTGTTGGGATGGACAACCGCTTGTGCAACGACAAGCTTAGCTAACTTTTTTTTCGTGGTGTACCGTAACGTTGGGATTTTTTTTTCCAGGTTTGTTATCACTGACGATTGATAAATCAAGCGGCGTAGAGTGTTCTTTCACTTTGCTGATCGTGCTCCAAAGTTAATAGGCGCTCCAATAACGGCCGTGTTTGCTCGCATAAGTGGTCGAACCAGTCATTGGGTTTTGTTGTTTTCCCCTTGTAGTTGCACTTTTCCTGATGGGGTGCTTGTCCTCAGGAGGTCCTCCCTTTTTCTGACAAACCATAGGCGTATCGAACAACCCTCAAAATCCGAACGTCTTCAAACTCCCCGAACACCACGTTCGAGTTAGTTTTCTCTTTTCTCTTGAGATGAATGGGCAAGATCCAAGCTCTTCTCCTAGTGTACCCTCATCGTTGACACCCTAACCACCGCGCTGCTAACGAATGCCCTTGCTGCCGATTTGGTGTCGCGTTCGCATGTTTTTTTTTTGGGTGTGTTTTCCGTCAACAGCACGGATGGGATGGCTCCGGGGACGATGGGGGGTCCTGCATCGACGGACGGCTCACCTCTGCGTGGAACTGGTGCTCCCTTCTGCCCAAGAAGCCTTTCGCGCCGATCTTCTACCTCGCCGGGCAGTACGGCTTTGACGGGGGGTGGGGCAGCGGGCTAGGAGACTAGCGACCCGTTTTGACCTCTCCCGCGCGCGCGCCTATAGCTCCGGATTATTGTGTTTTAGTGAGAGGCGAGACTGCAAGCTGTAATCAACAACAGGTGTTGGGGATAGATTGAAGTTTCTAGACCAAATGAAGGGCCTTGGAGACGTCCCCGACTCCCTGTTGTCCATGACGGACAACCTGCTGGGACCACTTCTTGCCTTGCCGATCGGAGACAAGAATAGCGGGACTGAGAGGCTTATTATTATTTATGCATATTAGCGACGTTTTCGTGGCTAGACGTTGGAACTCGCACACAACTGCAGTGTACATCTAGCACATGGGCTTGGATTTTTTTGTCTATTTGGTACCTGTGGCCGGAGAGCAAACAAGAGCTGGAATCACAACTCAACAAACAGCACAAACATCTGTGTTGGCACCAACCCCAAGCACTCTCTTGCCTGAGTATTGGAGGGAGTTGTTGGCGGTTTGCCTCCTCGGTCTATCATCATTTTATTATTTATACCCTTACCACCCCAGTCAAGCTGTTTTGACTTTGGCTCTTGTTGGCAGGTAGCCGCTGCTCGTTGGGTCACCTCAATGAGGTGCAACGCCTCATTAGTGGCGTGCCATCCCACAAGCTAGGCCTTCGTCCCTTGCAGGCCGTTGTTATTGGTCTGGGGTGGGCGGGGGGGAAGGTGCTGCTTCACATGCATGTATGTCACTTGTCACCACCCCCAAGGGAGAAATAAATGAAGCATGTCCAAGTTGCTGAGTGAGTGGGCCGGGTGCGTGCCACACTGCTGTGCCCAATTGAATCACAGTGTCTTGCGGCTTTGATCGTTTCCAGCTCCTTTTCTTTTGGTGATCTCGGGTAGACTACCCTTTCAAGAGTTTGGATTGCGTCACTATCATTCTTGAAGGATGGATGCAGAACGAGCTCAATTTTGTCCACACGAAAACTTAATAGTCACAGCCAGCGAACAGATTTGGTGGGTTGTGCACTAACGTTACCGTGCTTGGCGGTGGAGACAAAAAAAGAAATTGAGCCTGGACCCGACGTTGACGGGCTCGCGCTGTTACAGCGAAGTCCTATACATCTTTGCGCAGCAAATATGCATGGTAAAAAGTCTAGCCGAATTTTTACTCTGTTCAGCATTCTGTCGTGTCAATCGCAAACAAATCCAGGTTGGGCTACTTAGTGTATGTGGAGGATACTCCAGTATTTGGATAAACCCATAGACTGCTCTCCTGGGCGGGAAAATGTGCAACCGTAACCACGTACGCGTGCGAATAGCCCAGGATCCACGAAGAAACGGGCGTTAATGCGTTTCGACTGACTTGACTCACACACAGTAGATTGGAGCGCGATAGTCTATGCATATGGTGATCGGACTTATTAAGCACGAAAATATTGGGGGGTGGGTTGTCGAAACGGTGATGGTGCGATGTTCGCCCCTTTGGTTGCACACCGCTCATAACTAAGACCGTCCAACTGATGTCTGGTCGTGCTCAACATCATTGTGCAAGCCTCTCGCAACCCAAATGGTTGGCAAAACGGAAACCTCGGACCCTCATGCAAGGTTGGAGACATGCAGATTGTTGGGGGGGGGGGGTTGGGGTTGTTCAGGTCGTATTTTTGAGACAACGTCGAAGAACGACGGTAGCCCTTCTATTGATTGGGACAGACTGACTGTGTTGTGCCCATCATGCTGTAGGTGAATTGTTCGGGGTCCGGCATGGAGGAAACGCCGTGCAGCATGTCCACGGGGGGGAAAGTGCACACGGTGTAGGAAATAGGGCGCGGGGAGTGCCATACACACGACAAACGACAACAAAGATATTTGCCTCCGCGCGCACGCGAAAAAGCAAGCACGCAGCTGGCCCAACCATCAACATAAAAAAAATTGTTGCACCACCGCGCTGAAAAGCTCACCACCAAGCTTTAAGGGAAACACGAAGGATGGGGGGGCAAGAACAACCCTCAAGACTATACTATTAGATATATTGGAGTACTCGTAGCATAGTATGACGGGTAAGATCTTCAGTACGTACGTACGGAAATTGCAGTGATGAGATGCGGAGGAATATCAGAGAGATCCGTTTGGTAGTAGTTTGAGCGTGATGAGCGTGACGCGTGCTTGATGCCGTGACAGATTTATGAGCACGAGCACGCCCCCGAAGAATACAACACGTTTTCCTATACGTCCCTCCCCTACCACGGCCCGTCATGGCCCAGCTGCTCTACACTCCCAACACACAGAACTGAGCCACCCGAATTGTCGATCACATACACCCCGCACAGATGCCGCCTCCGGAAAAGCGCCTCGGTACGAAACCTACGAAATGTTGATGGTTTCGTTACGCTCATTCCCGCAGACTGCAGTACTCTATCTAATAGCACATCCTGACGAGGGAAAGTTACCCTATGCGCCTCTCTATCGTTCGTTCCCATTGATTGGTAGACAGCCTGAAAACATTTAGTCTAGCGTTGGTGCATGACACGCAATACAAAACACTGAGCGCAAGCCTATGAGCTCATCAGTTCATGAAAAAGACCTACCACATCTTTTTCTCGCAACGCACACACTGTTACGACAAGAAAGTACATTTGAAGAAGCACATGAAACGCTGTAAGACGTAGCTCATGCGTAGCTAAATAGCTAGGTTGAACAAAAGTTGCAGGCATTGGTCTGTTCTCCGTATTTCGTCTCCTTTCTGCAATCAAACTCTAAAATCAAACACAAATCACAACACGTACTGTCTCGCCTCCCACATGGACCAACGAACAGAGCAAACTCACCAATCCCCCTCTCCCCTCATCCTCAACAAGATTGGCCCCTCCCGAAAGTCTCAATGTCGTCGCGGTGAATCGTCGACATCGAAAACGTAGCCAAAACAGTCGCAACGGAGCAACACTTGGCGGGAAGCCGTAGTTGGTAGCTGTCCACAGCATATCCCACCATTAAGTGCGGGATGCTCGCTATGAGCAGCAGCACAACTATTTAGCAGCTTGGTTCGGTGTCAGCCCCTTTCGTTTGACTTTGTGGGGCAACCGTGCACCAGCGGCTTTATAGTCGCCCTTCGCTCGACCGCCCATACAAGTTCCTCCGTATCACGACTTCGATGCCAGATCGGCTTGGCCATGGCCGGCGTTGCCGTCGTCGGTGCCTTCAACGAATGAATGCATCGGCGTCACCCTTCCTTGAAACTCAGCCGTGTTCTCCCGTTCCAGTTTCTGCTGACGACTTCATGTTGGGGGTCCTGCCATCGCTCCTGCTTTCATTGTTTTGGGTAACGCCTCCGTGGGGTACGGCCAAGACGTCAACGGCGGGAGGAAGAAACGCCGCGAGGTAATCGTGGAGCTCCCCCAGCAGGTGCTTCTCGCTGTCCAAAAACACCTGGAATACCGTGTCGCGGAAAATGTGATCCGGGTGGATTTGTCGAGGGGCTTCGGCAGCCAGTCTGAGCCCGGATCAGATGAGCACTACCCGACCCCGGACAGAAAGTACGGTCCCATAACATGAAGCACCCCGACTATCGGAGTCAGGTTCGACCCCGATGTTTAAGGGTCCCGTAGTTAGGAGGCAAATCTTCTACCTTGATTACTTTTTTAACGTTGTTGAGAGTTGTTCCTGGTCCGCACAGTCGATTCTGACCTGTCATCATTTTAGGAATGCACCGGAGGGAACTCATGGCTACAAGTCATCGCATGTAGTACAGCACGCGCCCCTTCCGAGATGGGGCAGTGCTTCCCTTCCGCCTTCGCTCTCGGTGCTTGGGTTGTTTTTGGTGTAGGCAGGAGGATGTGGGCTAGGCATTTCGCCGTCGTCTGGACTTGTCGCGAAAGATGTGTAGCAACCGTAAGATTCCCACCGGCAGCTTGAACGTTCTTGACGTTGCAAAACGCTTAGACTAGTACACCGTGGGGGTTCCCGGTCAGCGCTCCCCAGGCATGTCCCGGAGGGACATGAAAAATCACTGATAAAAGGTAACTTCAACTATATGTTTGGCTCTCTCACCCTTATCGCCTCTTTCACCTCCGTCGTACAGGAAGGAACCTTGCGGTGGCTATCATCGGACGCCGCGCGGCCTTCACTCTCTTCGGAATCCCCACCACTGCCGTCGCCGATCACTTCGCCACCGTCATCAGCGAGGCCGAGCGGATCCGCCGTGGGATACCTGGACAACCGAAGCTTCAACGCGTGGACGACTTCCCTCAGGCCTTCCGCGTCAGTGGAGAGGGATTGCCAGCGCTCGTGAACACCAGAACCACCATCCGACGGAGCACGGCCAGGCCACGTTTCCTCTGGTTTCGACGAACGGGCGCGGGGCTCTTCATCGTAGTCCACTCGTGTCACGGGCATGAAAGGGAAGTGTCTTTCTTCGCCGTGGTCAGTGTCGGTCGAAGCGAAGCCGACAGAAGACGAACAGCTGCCGCGGTCGGTGTCATTTGGACTAAGGCGTTGTTCACCGGCGACGGCGGGAAGGCCCGCGATGATGCGGACGTAAGGGACGAAGTCGGAGGGCCCGTTGCTGCGGAGAGAGATGCAAAACATCGGCTTGCCCGTAGGGAACGCCTGGACAGGGGATGGATACGTTCGATGTTCGTAGGCCAGCGGCAGATGAAGTGAAACCCTTGAGCGTTAGCGAGGGGTAGGCAGCAGGGAAAACCAACTTTTTACAAATGGCGACGCACACGAACGTGCGGCAGCGCCAGTGAACAAGGCAGCGAATGCATTCAGGGGATTATCGACACAACAAGGTTGCTCCCGTTGGTCATCGAAGAGGACGATGCGGACTGAACCTGTGTCAAGGTCCGTGCCCTTGCTTGCCGTTTCGTCAAGGGTGCCGAGTAGATGATCCTGTCAATACCCGAGGTGCCCCCCGAACATCGAAATCCGGGTTGTGCCGCGGAACGGTCTGAACCCCCCCCCACAGCCTGTTGCCGCATTGCTCAAAGCGTTTGAATGGGTGACCAACATACATGACCGAACGAACAAACGAGGTGTTTACGAGAGAGACCACATCGGTTCACCTCCAGCATTCCCCCCAACGCCTCCCGGTGGTCGGCACCATGCCGGGGCGGCCGTTGTGCGTCGATCCTCACGCAGTCGTGACGGTTCTCTCGACCGAGGGACAAACCGTGCTCGAAAATGAGAACGTGGTTCGGGTGGCCGTAGTCCTCCAACACCTGCGTATGGGGACGCAAAGGGCGAAGCTAAAACTTCTTCAGACACCCGTCCACCGAGAAACCTCAAGTGCGAGCTACTGTAAACCCACGTGAACCGAACAAGAAAGCAGGATGTAATAATGAGAGCGTCTGGACATACCTCCAGTGCAACCCCGAGCAGCAGGTGGCGTGTGCACAAATTATTGCCGTCGAAGCCTGAGTAATGGGTGCCAGTAGTACGTTGAGAAAATTTCATAATGGCACGAAGTTACGACCAAGAACCGGGTTGGAACTAGGCTGTGCATCGGAGAAGGCGTCGGAAGTTACATACGCTGGGAATCTGTGTGCCTTGGTTGTGGGGATTGCCGATCATCCCCTGCTTTGCGGACACTTCTCCGTCCTTGCACACCTCATCTGCGAGAGACTCATGGCTTCGATCCAAAAGAACAAGCTGCTTGCACGGAGCGAAAATCGTGCTGCAAAGAAACGAGGGCAGCGACGGCAACGCCAAGTGAAAGGAGGAAACACTAGCTAGGACAAGAACACCCACAGAAACAACAGCAGCAGCAGCAGCAGCAGCAGCAAGAACAACAACAACAACAACAACAACAACAACAACAACAACAACAACAACAACAACAACAACAACAACGGAAACTGGTCGCTATTGTCGAAGTTTCTCGCCGCCGCTGTCACGGCGCTTCCATCTGAGTCTTGAAGAGTTTCTTTCGTGGATGAAAGGCAACGGAGTGTCCCGGGCGTTGTCCACCTGCGGTGAGAGGTACTTCAAAGTTTCGAAGCACCAGAGATCCCGATAGGGTCGTAAGAAAAACGTTGCTTGCATTTCGTGCTATCATGTTTTGGAGATACATCTCTCTAGCTGTGAAACCGCTTCCGTAGATTGTATCCATATAATTTCGTGAGAGACCTCAGCCAAGGTTGTTCGCCAATAACTAGGGGGAGCAGAGCTTGCTTCCCCTACCGTAGCTCCACACCTCAAGCACCCAAACACAATAATAAGAAAAAAACTCGCCGGCATCGTCTGAGGTAGAACAGGGTCCTTCAGCAACACATATAATCGCAACTTTGGGGCCAACAAGTCTGCAGGATGTTGGCCTTTTTTTTGCTCCTCGGGCACCCTGACACAACACAAGCAACCACTCTGCCGCCTTTTGCACCGGGAGACCTGAGACAGAGCAATTGTATGTTAGCCTCAAGGGTACCGAGGTGCCAGGGTGGTGCCCCGATTTCAATCAAATGGACGGGTGTGTTCATGTGACAACAACGACGACAACTGAGAACGACAACAACGACGACGCCAAGGACGGCGACAACAACTTTTTTCTTTGAACACCTTGCAGAAACGAAAACCAAATACTCTGGAGCAAGTGCCCATGTGACGGGAAAAAACTTACAATAGCCCTGGAGGTTGTTGAGNGGGGGGGGGGGGGTGTTCTTCTTGCCCGGGACATTTTCAAAGAACGGCGATATTTGTGTACGTATAACGTATATCGCTCATGAAAACGCAAGTGGCTTCTGCTGCGGGAATCGTTTTTCTACGTTTCCGGCGCTCCCGTGCACATGAACATGGTGCCTGGTTGCGAAATAACTTGAAGGAGTGTTGTGCTGCATCCAAGGGAACCAAAGCAAACTCACGAGATCTAGCAAGGGCACCAGGTGCTTCCGTCCACCCCACCGGATGCAGCGGCTGTCCACGATCGCGGCGGCCCAAAGGTAACGCTCCAGGGTTATCCACCCCGCACCGAGCACGTCATGGTGGTCCGATTGCGACAAAATAAGAGTAGGAGAAGATCTCAACAACTCTACGTCACACCGCCTCCAAACAGGTGTTGTCCGGCGTTTTTTCCGGACCTACTCAAGGGCTGGCTGTTTCGGTATTTTCCAGGGGGCGTGCACAACAAGCGTTATTTTCTGAGTTGAACATAAGGGCCTCGTGTCCGGCTACCTATTTTTCGGAGCAATTGTGGGCAGGACGAAGAACAGATGAACAGGCATCTCCCAGGATCAGAATGGCGGCGGAAAACCTACCTGCCGAAGCCTGAACTGCACAACAGGGAACTTTTTAGTCTAGGGTACCTGTGACTCTCGACCGGCGGCGGATCCCTCGGCTGCGAACTTTGTCGTGAAGCCGGCCACCTCCGAATCACGGCGCTCCCTCAAGGGGGCCTGGACGTCCGAGCCCCTCGAAGGAGGCGATCGTCGCACTGTCGAAGAACAGCGGGTGGTACGCTTCCATTTCGCTCGGCGTCGGCAGAAGACGAAGGTACGGCGCCCGGGGGGAGAGGCCTGATATCGGTTTGGCAGAGGACGAAAACGCGGCGTGTCGAGGAAAATGGCCCCACGTCGTTGCAAAGACCAACTGTGGTACCCACCACGAGTAGTACTGAACACGTCTGTTTGGTGTGTGGGTATTCGCGTGTTCCTTTGACGACGACTTTGAGACGAGGAAAAAGCCAGGCCGACGGGGGTATTGATTGCCAAGTAAGTATTCGCGGGAGAGAGACTTGTTCAACGAGCACATGAAGCAGTTATCCGAAGATGCATATTTCTGCAGCTACCGGAGCCGCGGGTCTTGATCGCTCGACAAGTGCATACACAACCTGGCAGTGGGTCGCATTGCACGCCTCGAACGAAGGAAATATTGCCGCCACACGTATCTTACACCGAAAAATGTAGTCAAAACCTGATTTGTACGCGGTTGTACAACCCTACAACCCTCTTCGTAAGAGCCCCTCTGTACATGCGACACTCCCATTGTTCGCGGAGACCCGAAAATCTTGACTATTTTCTCCTGGGGGGTGGTGCCTCGCTAGGGCTGCTTCTCTTACCCGAACGAAGGTCTCGGCGATGAGCAAAACCCGTAGACTGTCTATATCCTGGTCCCACAAGCCCAGGGGGCCAAGCGATGCTTCCAGCCTGGCGAGCGGCGGGCCCAGCTCGGGGTTGGTCCTCGCCTTGAACATTTTCGATGAGACGACGGACACAATCATGGGGGTAAATCGAAAGAAAGAGTGATCAAGGCGTATGCTCCCGGGTGCCTGCAACCAGCCAGGCGGATGAGTACGGGAAGAACAGCTTTTTCGCACTCACGTTGGACTGAAGATAGACGGGAAACACACATCGGAACCAGGAATGGGCCATTGATATTCGCGCTGTTGAACCGGACTAGGGGAGGGATGACGTGATTCACCGTGTAAATATTTGCTTTTTTCTTTCCCATGAATATCGCATAAGGTCTACTCGACCGCTGTCCGGTTGACCAATCGGAAAAAATGGTCATTCTCGCTAGGAATGCCAAGGTAGCAGAGCGCTCGGGCATCACTCTCGGTCAGGCCAGCTTCAACCATTTTTTCTGATCGACAAGCTACCCCAGTTTTGCATGCTCTAGTATATATGCCCGAAACATTCGCACACGATCACAAAACCAAAACACACCGCGGTTTGGCCAAGTCTTTGTTCAATGAAAGGGCCATTGAAACTCTTGCTTGGCTGTCACCCAACGGCACTGGGATGGAAAATGACTGTGGGCATACAGTACCGGGTTGCACAGAATATGCCCCCCACCCCCGCGGCCCTTCTCCCACATGCGCGCCAGGCACTGATACGCGGCATGCGCCAATACACCCGGGCAAAGTTTCACCTTCGACGCATCCAAAATGATCGATCCGGAGACGGAAAGGTACGGCTGCCCTTGACGAATCGCCTCCGTCGCCACCAAACCCAGACGCATGCCGTTCCCGATCAGCCCTGCCTCAACCTTTCGAATCGGGAAGTCCACCGTCCGCGTCCAAGCGTTGAACTCTCGCACTAGGGTCTTCAAGCCGGTACTGCTGTCATCCTCGTTCTCGGCCCTGTGGTAATCGTCATCGCTGTTGGCGTCGAAGTCTCCCCTGTTCTCGTCGTCCCCAGTCGGTTGCTCGTCCTCCTCTGCGTGGCACACCTGCCCGGCAGGTCTTGGAAGAAAACCTTCGACGGCAGCCAGTAAGCAAGAAGTCGTCGGCATCGTCGCGAGGGCCCGGGTTGTCGGCGTATCGAGTGGCGCCTTGTCAACGGGGAGCTCAACAGGGCAAGTCGCCTTGTGTGGGAGAAACCCTTCGGCCTCCAGAACCTCGAGCGCGGTGAGAGCTTCGCAGCTGGCAGCCTCCTCGGACCTTCCACCATCGCCTCCCATATCTCCGCCGTCCTTGACGTTATTACCATACCTCCCTGCCACCGTGTCGCCTTCCTCGTTCGTCTCATCGCCCTCGTCCTCAGGCGATCGCAAGCAGATTTCATCCTCCTGCCGCCACAATGATGCAACGCCGTACTCGAGAAACAGCAGTGACTTCAGTGAGGCGGGCACCTGGCAGGTGTCGTGGCCGTCGTCGCTGTTGACGGCCGAGCGTTGCAGCAAGCTTGGGGTTGTGCCTTTACCGGCCTCAGCCCCCTTCGGATGGGCTCGCGCCGCGGAACAACGCCACCAATCGCCGCGTACATCCGCTGGCACGGGGCAAACATCCGTGGAAGATTGTTCCTCAGAGGGTTTGTCGTCCTCATCCTCCTCGGAGGGTGCCGATGGCAGCGGTCCGATAGGTTTCCGGTCTGTGAGAGCCACAATGGCATTGCTGCGGTCGACGGCGGACGAAGCACTACACGTCATTGACGGTATTGCTTCGGCCGTCTGGGACTCTTCCTTCTCCTTGCAAACATCAGGAACTGAAAGCGCAAAGCACGGAAGCATCGCCCTTGTCGGAGGCGCTTCGTTCGCGTGCGCTGGCACTACCGCCGACAACGCCTTTGGCGCGGGCGGAGATGAACATGTTGGTGCCTGCTCCTCGGCGTATGTGAAGGCCTCCCTAGGAAGCGCGCGTGGACAGGATGGTAGCGTAGGTGCCGCCGTTTTGGGGCCATGCTGTGCTGGAGGAGGTGCAAGTCGTAAAACCGTCTTCGGACCTCCAGTGTCTACCGTGATGGTGCTCTCCAGTGTCAAAGGTGGGGCAGGCGGAGACGTGCGGAGTGCTACTTCGCCAGCACTTTTCCTCGTAATCGCTGCAACGACATCGTCTCCCGATTGGGATTAAGATGTCGCTCGCGCTACCTTCGGAGGTTTGACGTCAGCCATGCACAAAGCCCCTAAGGTGAAGGCTGCAGGGCGGAGTGAGCATGTTTCTAGCCCCAAGTCCATTTTTGCGGCAGCGGCCCCCATCGGCCCGTCCTTGCGAAAGGATGGCAACGTTGGTGTGACGTCTTGATCCTCAGGACCGGGTTCCGCGATCATGGTCTCCCGCGATACTGCAGGGCACACTCTGCCGTCGCTCGGTAGATACTGACCGCCATCCCCAAACCTAGCCAGCGGCGGTGCTTCGCCCCCAGCCGGGTCACGAGCACACGTTGGCTCAGTCCTCGCTTGACTGAAGATCGCCGGAGGACGAGCCGCCGGGCTAAATGGTAGCTCGTGAAGAGGCACCTCCTTCTCGGGCTCTACCCAGAGGGAGTTTGTTGGTCCGGCCGTGGCGGTGGTGTCTACCATTGGCCCCTCGAGGAGTGGGGACACTTGGAGCGACCACCAAAAACTATGCGTTTTACACACCGGCTGCGTCTCATGTCCGGGTTCGTGCGGTAGCGACAGCGATAGCGACTTCCCTGCCGCTCCAGCGTCCAGAAGGTGAACGTCACTAGCAGGTGCGCCGGACGGGACAGCGGGACTTCAAGGAGCGCCTCATAGTCGCACGCTCCGACTCCTTCTGTTGGCTTTCCCAGAATGCCTGCAGAAAGCCAAGAAGCTGCGGTCGTGTCGACTTCATGTGTCGAGGGAAGAATATCCAGGAATGACGCCGAGCACAAACCCGTGTCGTTTCTACCTCTTCGCCGTAGCACCACCGCTTCCACGGGTTGGTGCCCTCGGCTCGACGGCTCGGCGATTTGTAGCTCCACAGCCGATGATGCTGTGCCTTCCTCGACCTCTCCCACTGGTGGTTGGCCAGTTTGCTCGTCTCCAGAAGTGTGCCAGTACTCCGTGCCGATGGTGCTACACGTCGTTCTTGATTCGTCTGCCGGAAATCCTCCCTCTTCCTCGGCCAGCGTGGCGCTGAAATCTGTCTTCGCGTCGTCGTCGCCACAGTCGAAACCACACGGAGCGATGCACGAGCCCTCGTCTACAGTCTGGCCTAGTCCCTGCATGATGCTGAACAGGCCTGTTGTGGTGCACGCGCGCGCGCGTGTGTGTGTGTGGGTCTGTCTAGTTAGCACGAGGTGATTTTTGTACGGCCGTTGGTGCCATCTTGTTCGTTCTTCCAAATCGAGCAATACAGTGGTAGAACTATGCGAGACGGGGCACAACACAGCAGTTGGGACAATACTTCTCGGCACTGCTGGTGCTATGGTTCGCCCACACGTTGGTGAACCTCTCCAAAGCGAACTAAAGCATGCAAAATGATCGACGACGAGATTGGATGAGACGCGGGGCCAGGCACAGAGTATATCCAGACCAAAGTAAGACTCGGTAGGTTAGAAAAGCTACGACTACTGCGGTGGTTTCCCGTTTTGGTTTCGTGTTCTCTTGCACGATACTCTCCGGCGTGGTTTCCGGTCATTAAATCTTGGCTATGGACTGTAGGTTGGATGGGGCCTGCTGTCCCAGCCGGTCGACCCAATTTTTTGCTTTTGTGCTTCACCACGGTCGGTCTTGTTTCACCCAGAAGTTGTGACTTCAAGGCGCAAGCACCAGGTCTGTGCAGGTACGCTGTACGTATCTCTCTGGTGCTTCTTCGGCCATGTGCGAGACTCGGGGTGACAGGTGCGAGCAGAGGAGAGTAGTGGCCGATAAAGGAGGATATAGCACAGATATGTGGTACATGTAGACACATGTACCCTCGGCCGTATCTTGTGTTTCTCAAAGATGCCTGTCCTGCTTTCCTCAACGCTCCCAACAACGGGTACAACAACGGGTAAAAAGAGGGGGGGCGGGGGTGAAACTTTCACATATATGGGGGCTGGGATTACTCCCGCAACGGCAAGGTCTTGCACGTAGTACAGCACTTCGGGGCATCCAACCTCTGGTGCTACACGCCGATCAAACATGCCTCGAGCCACGGCGGCCGTGATCTGTGCAGGTTTTTCCACGAGTGCGGTGCGATATATTTACACCTCCACCACGGGGCCCACAACGCACATGCTCCAACAAATGCGACCACCGCGACGGCGTTTCGAGACCCAGGCCCAAGTTGACGAGCAAGCCGCCTCATTCGCCGGAGGAGAGGGCGCTTCGCCCGGCACATCCCCCGTGTCCCTTTTCGTCTTCCCTTTGGCCCTGCGTTGCCGCCTGGACTTGGCGCTGGATCTAGGGCTCATGACTGACAGTTTGGATCCGCGCAGAACAAGCGCGCTCGCCACCAAGCCGCAAATTGCAGAGCGCGCCCGACTCGCGCGGAGGAACCCGTGCGCAGCACGGCCCTTCCAGCAGCTGCTGATTCCTCTTGTTTCCTTCGAGCGCGTGCACAGCAGTCCTCTCTCTCTCTGTTGGCAGAGGTGGACAGGTGGCGATGTGGAAGAGAGCCAGCAGAGGGGGGGTCGCGAAGTTTACTCTATTCTTATTTCGCCGCACCCCTAGGCTTTGGTAGAAAGGAGATGGACCAACCACGAGGGACACGACCACACGCGCCACGCACCACGCAACCAGGCCAGCTGCTTGGGCCCGACCGCAAACCAAACCATAGGTAGAGACAACGTCCCCATGGCGGCCCCTTCTTCGGGACGACAGAGTCGGACTCTCTGTACTTTCTACGAGAAGGTATAGTGTGCTGGTACAAACCTGAAGACCGAACATGCGTCCAGGAAATATGAGAGGGAGAGCGTCGTGAAGGGCAGACAACGACATCCCCGTATTCGCCAGCACAGCTGTAGTCGCAGCGTACCGTCGGACGTCGTATGGGCTCGTATGGCCATGTAGTTTCTCAAGGGGTCTTGATCGTTGTTTTCCCGCGTTTTGTGTGAGTTATGATAGATAACTACTTGCACAGAAAACGGACAACGGAAAGACGCAGCGAACAACGAGAACCCGTTTGTTCTCTCTGCCGCGAGCTGACTGCCTCTGTGCCGATGTGTACTTTTTTTTTTTTTCTCAAAATCACACAACAAATCCATCTCTAAATATCTATAGAAATAAGTCTAAGAAAGATCAGCAACGAATCCATAGCGTGAGCGAAAAGCTACCTGTATGTCTACGGTTTCCCAGACAGCATACAATGATATCTCCCCTGTGGGGAACAGGCTCAACGAGGCAGTTTGGTAGCCATCTTGTGTATCTGTATGTTATGTTGGGAAGTTGTACATAGACGGAAGATTTAGGGGAACTCGGTTTGTCGGGTGTTCTGTTATGGCACCCTTACGTGGTTGCGGAGCAAGCGCGTCTCGGGGTGTGTATGTTTTCGTCATCAACTTACTTTGTGTGTGTCATGTATAGGGGCATGTGCGGCGCGGGAGAACATATTTACCGTGTTGTGTAATGGCATGTCGTTAAATGTGAGAAGGGCACGGGAGAACAATGTCTCATCATTGCCTCCCGACGTGGCCGCCGATAGAGGCGTGTGGTTGGGGTTTTATCACCGACATGTGGGTGTGTGTTAAGTGCAGTGGGTATGGTCGCCTCTCTCGCCCGTGTGTCGGCAGAAGGTATGGCTACCTTTCCCATTTATTTGTAGGCAGCGCGGACCACAAGTAAAGACAGAGTGTATCATGTCATGCATCTACATCATTTGTATGTGGAAAGAGAGGAATGAGAGGTTGTTCTAGCTTATAAGCAGTTTTGACGGTGTGCGTATGGGTAGGGGGGGTACTCCCTGTGTCCGTGTTGTTCCCAGATGTTGTCGCATCAAGTGGCAGCATGTTTCGTGGACAGGTAGACGTGGAAGGGTGGCGACAGGTGAACGGCAGCAGCAGTATGTTGTGCATGGTGGCATGTTGGGCTTGTACAAAGACGCAGTCCATATTCGACCACACACGGAGTTTGTTCATACCTGTCGGAGTTTTGGAGGGCCCAAGTCAGTCTCAAGCAGCAGTAGAAAGGAACGAAAAGGCGCAGTGCTTCTCTACAGCTTTAGAATCCGTCCTCCTCAAATCCTAACGGAGATGATTACGTATCGCACAACGGCTGGATCCGAATTGCCGGCTAGCTCCGAAAACCAGGAGAGGTGGGGGAGTAGCTCAGACGAATGGCTGCGTGTGTGCTTCTTCATGTGCATACTTGGCTGACTCTTTGAAGGGTAGAATTCTGGTTCGGCGGAATTTGGCGGCATTTTGGCATTTCCAGTATATGCCATTGTCACCTGGATGCATGGGAATTTTGGCGAGGAAGTCGGCCATTAGTTTCTCACTCTACTTGCAAGGGACACGTTTCACTTTCAGTGTTCCCCCTTGCGGTTTCGATGGTCAAATATGCAGTTTCCCACACATATTTTCATCGCTACATACTATAATGTGCCTTATTTTTCATTAATTTTCATCGTGATAGGTTAGATGTAAACGTTAGAATGTGTAATGTTGGCGTTGAATACCGCGTTGTTGTTGTTGCATCAATTATTTTATTAACCATGTCGCACAGTTAGTTCTGATCAAACATAATACAGTAGTTCTTTCACATTCCATTTTCACAGGTTGGCCATCTCCCATCCGATGCTACGACCATTTATTATCTCTCCACCACAAAGTTCTTATCATCTATACCCTTCCAGATACCCGTCTCAACTCTAAGCCAGTACGAATTTCTGACTGTGGGTACATGTACGTTCCTAATCTTCATAGTAACGGCGATGTACGAAAAAACGTATACGAGAAATAACGCAAAGTGTTACGAATAAGTATTGAAGAATAGAAGCGTGCAAGCATGTCGTCCACAAGTCTGGCCGTTGCTGCCTGAAAAAATCGAACATCAGTACATCTTATGGCAAATCGGTACATTTGACAATGCAAAGTAGACACTTCACATCTAGTAGACAATAATGTCTCCCAGTGAGGGAATACCCGATATCGCTGCAACGTAGCCATGTGTTGGCGCTTATTAAACATCCCAATATGCGTCTTACTCGGAATATCCTGCCCAATTTGCATATCCAGAAAATGTGCAGACTCCCCACACTGTTCTCGAGTAATACGAACCGGGTTTTCTATCTCGTTTCCATCCGTGTCTAAAACCGTTACCGGGTACATACCACCATATTTGGAGTCGCCCATGTTGATCTGGTCTCCAGTGTTCAAAGAAGTGGCGCTCTCTGGCCTACCTTCCTGTTTATCAGTGTGTAGGGCAACGTATTTCGTACGTACAAATGCATGACGTGTGTGTTACCCACAAATATCATGTGGTACAACAGCAGCAGCCTCTTGCGACACTCGCACACGGCCTTGTGTGCACCATTTTTTTTTTTTTTCACTTCAAATCAGCGCTCACAGCACTGTGGTGCCGTCAACCCTAACCGGTGGTCGCACAGAACGACTCCGCTCTACCCTCCCCTCCTGCGGTACGTTGCCTTCGATCTTAAATGCGAGAAGAGTTCAGCACTCTCTTCCCTCTGTGCACACACGAACTAGCGCTACCCACTAGGCCAGGAGCGGAAGCGAGAGCAAAACTCACTTTGCAAGAAAAGCTCGCTTACGCCGGGATTCGAATCTCTGACCTGACCTCTAGGAGGGATCGAGGGTACCAACTTCACCACCGGGGCGACCGGCTCCATCTAACTACGTATGAGTATTTTAGTGAGCTGTCAAGTACTTGCTGCCTACTTCCCTGCAGCCGTAGCACCCACCCCATCGGCACCAGCGCGCATTGTAGCCTCTTGTAAGCCGTCACGGTGGTGTGCAAGTGTGCAAGGCTTGCCCCGCTTCTTCTTTGCGTGCAAACGGCGCAACGTACCTTCTTTTGCGCAGAGCCCAGCTGGCACAACCTTCGCGGCGCGACGTGTTATTTGTAGAAGCCCGAATCAAACCATTATTTAGACTAATGGTCGGCGCTGAGGAGTCTGCTGACCAGTTTAATGGTTTGATTTCTATAACGAAAGTGTTGACTTTTTGGCTTTGGGCAAACATCACTTGATTGAATGTGGGAGCCGGATATCGCCTGGGGCCGTTTTGTGGAGTTGCAACGAGATGATTCGGCACCCCTGTGGAATTTTATGCGAGCATCCCATGGGGGAACGAACCCTGTGGCGGGACAGATTTTTATGCGGCATCCGCCAATTGGCGGTCTGTATTCCGCTTGGCGCCTACGTGGCATCTGGCTCAACTCTCTAGTTGTAGAGTTGGCAATTACGCACGACGCTTTCGAGGGCACGGACCGAAACCGCCGCTCCACCTTGCAGCCGGGAAGGTGCAACCAGTGATCATCCCACGCCCATAGCAGGGTGGGACCAGCAGCCCACACTGTGCTGTGCAGTTTCGCAACCGAAATCCACGTTCGAGTTCGATGAATACCATCGCATCATTACCCATGGAATCCACCCCAAGTTAATGAACGGCACGTGCCCATGATACATGTGTAGTGCATAACAATGATGATGGTAGGACAAAATCCGCCAGGGTGCAACGACACCACCCCTTGCGGCGTGCTGCATAGGCGCATGGTACGGCATTCCAAAGCTCGCCACGTAGACACGACACACACACAGACAACTTTATCGCGGGCACTAGACTACCACAGACGAGCAACCAATAATATCACCACCCTCCTTCGTCAAGAACGGGGATCGCCGAAAATTCAACGGCAACGATTTGAACTGCATGCCTGCACCACGGCCGACGATTGCGAGAAAGGTGCAACATACCCGACTTCTATGCATACCCTGCGCAGAGAATTGCTGTAGGGTGCCTCCCTTCTCCTTATATTCCCCCGGTCAAAGCCAGAAAAGAAACCGGGGAAATACCAGGCTACTATTCACACATTGCCCGACGCGGTTTGTGTGCGACGGGCAGAGGCGAAAATCATCCAAGGACGCTCTGCACTTTTCGGAGTCTATCCAGGAGCACCGCCGATCACTGACCGACCTTCCCTACGTGAACCAGCGGGGTCATTTGTAGTCACGACCTGAGGCGCTCGCATGCGGTGAACGGCAGTAGTGGCACTCCACGGATGATACGGAGCTCGAGCAAAGTGGCAACCGGAATGCGCTTCCAACGCTCACGCTAAAGCCTGCTCATTGTCTCTGCGAATCTGCGAATGTCAATCTCGCAACGGATTTTTAATGTATCAAGAACGGGTTCATCTGGTCTGTCAAGTTGCAAGCCTTGATGATCACTCGTGTTCTAGCCCTTCGCAAAAGCTCACAAGCCTTCAGCAGCGCCACGCAACACATTTCAGATCGAGCCATCTGCGAGCCACAGAGACGAAAGGTCGGTGTCACCACGAAGAGAAGTAGAGGAACCAGGTCGCTCGATGATGCGTCGAGTACTTGGGCATATTATTTGCCGTGCACGCACGGTATCATGGTAGGCAAGATATCGCTGCCTTCCGTGCGCACGTTACATGCTTGACCATGTGCAACACCTTCATTGGCGCGGCGCCGTTCGTAACACTTGTGCAACGCATTTGTCGTACAGGGGTCTTGCAGATACGGAGCCAGCTGCCGTTTCACCCACGGCACGTCAGACAGCCGTGAGCTAAGAGCAGATGGTGCCGCTGGCGAGACACAAACACCAGGGCAAGCGAAACCGACGGCTTCGACGAGCTCCAAGGAACCGTGCAGGTTCTTCGCGAAAGGTAGGATATTCGTACCTAGACGCGGGGTTCGGAGAGCCGGCCAACCATGCATACACCCGTGTCCAATTCACAGCAGTGTTCGAGCCGACAGAGGCGCCGAAGTGTTTTTTTTTTTTTTTTCCTACCGGCGTGCAAAACACAACAGCACCCGTACACGCTTCCACCTCACCCGCGTTGCCCCCATTCACACCCCGCATTACCAGCAACGGCGACCGAAGTGTATCCATCCCCCCCTGTCCGAAACGACGTGAACCGCACGCCGGCGCAGGCAAATGCGTCAGGGGCGCCAGCTGCCGTTTTTTTCACTCCGCCACCGGCTCGGACGACTCCCGTGAGGGCGATAGCGACGAGACGGGTCGCCGCACTCGCAGCAGCAGCGGCAAGGCCACCCCCAACGGCGGCTGCGCGGAGGGGGACGAGGACAGAGGACAGGCGGTGACCACCGCGAAACGCTCGACTCGTCCTTGCCCTTCGCCCAGCCGTCAGTCCACCTCCGCCTCCGCAGCTGCGGTTGCTGGAGACTCGCGGGTGAGACCGGAAGGCGTTTGCGAGAAGCGGGGTGATGCCGGGTGTTGCTCGTCGAAAAAGAGTGGTGGTAGCAGCGGTGGCGACGAGATGACCGGGAGACTGCAGCGGTCGTGGACCGACATCGCCACCGGTGAGTGCTTCTTCGGCGAACCAACAAGCGGTACATGCTCGTGTTTGTGGTTGTGCAGTAATAGTATGACGCTGCTGTGCTCTTGGACCTTTTCTTTTTTTTTTCTTTTGCGGAGCCGGAAGCGACGGAGTGGTTTCGCCCTGGTGGTAGATGACCGCAAAATTCTGCCTCCTCAATGCCGTAAGAGGCGGAGAGATAGCACCCCCGCCTAGACTAATTTTGAAATCTTGGTGGCTCCACAGCCGAGAGTGTGCCAACTCCAACAAATCTCGTCGAGGGCGTTCCGTAAAGCTACATATCAGGCTCTTTCCGCACCCCCTTGATTGTGGAGCAATCGAGCTTTGAAAGTCGGTCCAGGGGGAGGGGTGCGATCTCTCCGCCTCTTACTTGCGGTAGGTTACGTGGCTTCCATGGTTGCTGTTTCGGGAAGGAAGGAAGGAGAGCATGTTCACCGAACCGCGCTGTTGGGTACGAAGCTGTGGTTACTGTGATGCCTTGTTACCGTGCTGCGGGCTGCGAATCATCACGAGATCGTCTTGGTGCACCCCGTGTAGCCCCTCCTCCCCCTACCTCTGCCACCAACAACGGAGCCACGTGCGTAATTCTAGGCAGCATGCAGTTGGACGGATGCTACAGGCGACCCCCCTCCCTCCCCCCTCCGGCTCACCGACAACACCCCATACCACCACACACATTTCCACCTTAACGCGTTTTTTGCAGAGGATGTCCCGATCGACGCCGGCGGCGGCACCGCGAGCTCCGCCAGCACCGCCAGCACCCAAAGCGGAACCAGTTGTGAGGAGAACGACGGTGACGCCGAAGAACCCATCGCGCCGGCCCGGCGCAAGTTGGCCGCGAACGCGGCCGACAAGAGAGATAGAAACACCGCTCGACCAGCCGCCGCCGCCGCCGGGAACACCTCCGCTCCCGCGCCCGGCGCCTCCGCCCCGTTGGGCCAGCGTCGGACGCAGCCCGTCGGAGGAAGTTATCGTGGCGAAATCGACAGGAAGGGTAAGCAGGAGAAGCAGGCGTGCGTGTTCTTCGCTCGCGGGCGGTGTAGGTACGGAGACCGCTGCAGGTTTTCCCACGATGCCGTCGAGGAGACGCCGGCAGCAGGAGCAGGGGGGGAGCGGGGGAGCCATGGCGGCAGAGGCGGCGGCTCCGTGGGGAGGAAGGAAAAGGTATAGTGGCTACGCTCCGACCCGTTCACGATGAGCCAGCTTTCGCAGCAGTGGTGTGGACAGATTTTCGGTTGGGGGCTAGCAATAGATAACAGACTGGGAAGGTTTTGGGTACAAGAAGGCGACAATGCACGGCAAGGTTTGGCCGTGAAGCGCAAGGATGGAATGTTAATCCGAAAAGCACACACGTGTGTAGCGAAGAGTTGCCATTGCTGCCGCTGCTGCTGCCGCAACTGAACTGGCTTTTGCTTCTGGGACGCCAGGAAGCCATTGTCGAGCAGACCGTACAAACAAACATGCGGTGGATCACGAAAAGTTTGACGGCCTGGCCGGCCCTCTCGGCGGCGGCGGCTACTGCCCGCGCTTTAGCCCGGCGTAAGAGGTGTGGAAAACTCGACAGGTTTTGCCTTTCCGTAGGAACAAACCGCCGGTCATCAACCCGACCGTTCATCATTGGCGTTGGATGTTGTTCTTATCGTGCGGCAGAGGGGCGTGGCGAGCGAGCCATCATCCCACGCGAGCGAGGGTTTCGGCGAGGACGAGGTGGCCGCTAGGGAAGCGGCCCTCGACGAGGCGGAGAGGATTCAGGTAAATAGACCGCGTTAAATCGGTTGGGTGCTCGACACGTTCGATCGACTTCGCGAGAGATTTTGATCCTTTTTTGAGGCACTCATGGTGGGAAGGGTGAACAACGTCGGAGGTGGTGCGTGTTTGCACATCGGCATCGGTTTTACCTCCTGATACGTTGTTGAGTCTTCCGGAAGGTGAACCTTTCTATGTGAAGAACGTCCTTAGGTATATCGTTTTTTTTGTCGTGTTTGTGCTCGTTTTCTGCAGCGACCGTTTCCCCTTCTGACCCAGTGCTGTTGGACTCAACTACGGCTATGCTTGGTCCATGACGAACGATGGTGTCCTTGTACCGCGTTGTTGGGCTGTCGTTGAACGCCCCCCCCCCCCCCCCCCCCCCCCCCCCCCCCCCCCCCCCCCCCCCCCCCCCCCCCCCCCCCC